TAGATCGAATGGGAAGAACGACCTGTCGAAGAATTACCCCGGCCAACCCTCGGGCCAACCACGGACAACCATCCCGGTCAACCCTGGTTATGCTAAACAGTTCCTTCCATTTCATCAAATACCATACTTATGCGATCTGGCATCGAATGTAAGAGGACGACATAGGAACAGGCAACGCGTAGAAGCCAGCGAGGGCACGTATTCATTCACATGCAAAACAATAACTCCTGCCTGCTTCAACATCGGAATGCGCAAACTTTGCAGTGCATACGAATACGTGTTCTGGTGGGTTTCTGTGCAGTACCTGTCCAATTTCGCCTGGCTCCGAAGCCTCATCGCCCAAGTCGGGCACAATGCTGTGTTGCAGCAGGGATGCAAAATCTCATACCTTCTCCCACTCCTCTCCCCGCTCCCCGTCCTCCGAAACAAACGGCCCCATCTCAGCTCTTGGTTTCTCGGGCCGCATCGGCCCGTGAATTTGAAGGCTCCAGGGGGCACGAGAACGGGTCCTAATTGTTCTCGTCCCTCTCCAACTCCCCTGTCCCCTCCATGACGACGACCGGCGGAGGCCTTCAAAGACGTCTCTGGAGTCCTCCCGAAGTTCGAAGGCCACAAGCACATGAAACGCGCTCAAAGTCTCGATCTTCGACTCTCGGCGACGACCGACAATGATGAATCCGTTGGAAATCGACCCCCTGACCCCTCCTGGGGTCCATCACTTTCGCTGGAGGGGGGGACATCGCTTCCAGGGGCGGCGGTGAAAAAAATTCGCCCGAAGTGATGGGCCTGTTTTCTACCGCCACCACCAGAAGTTGGAGGGGGGATGGGGTCCTCCTCCCCCTCGTCTGCTTCCTCCTCCTCATCCTCCACCTCCCCCCCCCTCCAACTTATGGTGGTGGTGGTGGAAAACAGGAGGCTCATCACCCGGGGGGGGGGGGATACTTGCGTCCCAAGGTTACGCTGGACGTTCTCCCGACCCCTGTTCGCGAGGGAGACGCACCCGTCGACGAGCGAACTGCCTGGGGCCACCCGTGGCCGACCGACCACCGCAGGAGCAACAGCGAGAAGGGAGCAACGGCCAGACATGCAAGAGATGCCTGCAGTGAGCTTGAGCTCCCCCCACCTCGGGGGCGCGCAAACAGGGATTAGCGGCTAGCGATCCATGGATGTGGCGCGCCGTCGCCAAATTCATGGATCGGAGGAGGTGCTCCCCCCAACATGTGGCCGGTGCCGCCTCGCCCGGCGGGGGAAGTGCGCGATTTCCCCATGGAAACGGGGCCCGTCGCTAATTCACGCTCCCTTAATCCATGTTTGCGATCGCCTGACTTGAAGGGGCCCTGGGACACACAAATGAATAGGCAACAATAAAATGATTCCGCGTATTTTCCCGTATCTTCTGAGTTTTTGTCTTCCCCCCACTTCCCATATTTTCCAATATTTTCTGGGGAGTCGACGATTGATTGTGTCTGTGTGTTTTTCCCTCGTTGAACATCGCCCCTGAGCATGACAGGCATGCAAGAGATGACTGTAGCGAAGTAGAGCTCCCCCCACCGTCACCACCCCACCACCCCGAGCAATCCCGTGACCGAACGGTTTCTCACCTGCCGAATGGCAGGGGCGCCGGTCCTGACAAGCCTCCAGCCCCTTGAAGTCGGGCGTGTCACCCTACAGGCGGATTTTGGACGAAAAATAAAAATACGCAAACAATATTCAAAAATTAATAAAAAATAATAGAACATCGTCGCCATACTATCTGTTGACTATTCTTGAATATTCATCCTGTAGAGGGGCAGGCCGGACTTGACACCACCTGAGGTGAGCATCCAATCCTCGAGCAAAGCAAGCAAATCCACGTGGGACCTGTCGTAACCATACAGTGCGAGCTGCGAAGGAGGGCAACTTGGAGTTTGGTGGTTTTGATTCGGCCCATCTTGGGCCTCTCAGCGGACCAGGGCGCCACAGTAACGGAGTCCACAAGGGCCTGAGCGGCCCGCCGGCGGACCAAACCAGAAGTGGCGTCCCACTGATCGGTGTCGGGCGCACGCCGTCCAAAAGGGGGGGGCCGCCAAGATTCTTTGGCGGCCTCGGGCGCGAGAGCGTCAGCAACTCTATTGCCCGACACGAGGAGCCCCCATTGCTCCGAAGGGAGGGGTCCATCGGGTCACCGCTCCGATCCAGAGGGAAGTCATCGCAGACCGATCCAATCCTCCAACCTCCGAGGCGTCCTTCGGGTCACAACTCGGGCCTCCGGCGGCCGCTCGGGACGACCCAGGCGCCCCAGTGACCGCTCTCGGCGAGGCGCAGTGGCTGGAGAGCACCCCTGAGATCCGACGCTGCGAACAGAATGCCAACCTCCCGCAGAATCACGACCAGAGCCCTGGACGCCATCTTTCTGCAGCATCTCAGCGAGAAACTGAGAGCCCAGGGCCCGAAACTGCGCGAGAAGGACCGGAGTGAAACACCTGCAGCGCCCGGACCTCAGGCCCCCGGGGGCGAGAAGCAAAACAGACTTCAGCCGCGCCGCGCGGTGCGCACCAGAGACTGGGGAGCCTCCGTCGACGGCGCCGGGTGGCGGACGGAGGCCTGCCGGGCCCTGAATCGCGATGCGTGGTGATGTGGCAAGTAGAGCGGAAAGCTTCGCCCAAGCTTCCAAGAACATGGGCTTTCGGTGTCCTCCGTGCTTTGCCGTCGCTGTTCCCGTCCTGCTCTTGCGACCATTCCGCCCTACTTCACCGAGGCGGAAGCTTCCACCCCACTCGTTCGTATCGTTTGGGGTAACCGGGTACACTTGCGACACATTGTCAGTGCAAGGATCCACCACAATACGTCCGAAACGAAGTCAGGGAACCACTTTATCCTATCCCGGGGGCGCGCAAACATGGATTAGCGATCCATGGATTTGGCGCGCGGTCGCCAAATCCATGGATAGGGGGCGGTGCTCTCCCCAAAACGTGGCCAGTGCCTCCTCGCTCGGCGGGATAAATCGGCGACTTCCCATAGAAACGGGACCCGTTGCTAATCCACGCCCCTTGATCCATGTTTGCGATCGCATGACTGGAAGGGGCCCTGGGACACACAAATTCGCCGGCCCAACGGGCCAGAGGCGTGCTAAGATCTCCGGTGACTGCTTTACAATATTCTTCTTCGCGCGCGCGGGGCGGCCCCTGGGGGTCTCCCCACGAAAAGTACCCCGGCAGGGTCCCGGGAGACTCCCGGGAGGGTCCCGGGAGGTTCCCGTCAGAGATGTTCTCCCTCCTGGGTGCCGCCCTCGAGGTCCTCCAGAGAGCCTCCAGACGCCCCAAAACGCCCCCAAGATGCTACAAGAGGGCTCCGAGATGCCACAAGATCGCTCCAAGACGCTCCATATGGCCCCCAAACGCCCCAGGAGGCCTCCAAGAGCACTCCCAAGAGGGCCCCAATAGGCAAAATTCATTGCTTTTCCTTAGGTTTTGGTGAGATTTTGGTATTCCCACCCTTTCCGCTTTCTAACGCCCGACGACGGCCCAAGAGGCCCCCAAGATCGCTTCAAGAGTGCCCAAGAGCCCCCCACAAGGGCCTTACGACGAGCCAAGATGGCCCCAAAACGGCCCCAGAGGGCCCCAAGACGGCCCAAGAGGGCCCCAAGAACGCCCCAAGAGCGGCCCCAGGGGGGGAACACGACACAACATGTCCAGCCCTCGGCCCTAAGAAGCCCCCAGGAGGACCCCAGAGGCCCCTGAGAGGTCCCAAGAGGCCCCAAGAGGCCCCCACGAGGCCCTCAGGAGGCCCCCAAGAGTCCCCCAAGCGGCCCCAGGAGGCCCCCCAAATGCCCCCCCGAGCGCCCCAGGAGTCCCCCAAGCGGCCCCAGGAACCCCCAAAGCGCCGCATTGACACCAAGCCCTCGGGCAAACGGCAGACATGAGACTGTATGGGCCGGCGGAATGAGCGAAGCGATTAAATAAATGGACACAAATAAAATGATTCCGCGTATTTTCCCCTATTTTCTGGGTTTTTGTCTTCCCCCCCACTTCCCACATTTTCCCACATTTTCTGGGGAATCGACGATTAATTGTGTCTGTGTGGTTTTCCGTCCTGATGACTATCCCCCGCCCACTCACCGAACACCGCCCCTGAGCTTCCGCCGCGCGGCGCGGCGTGTGCTGGAGGCTGGACGTCCTCGGCGACGGCGCGCAGGGTGGCAGGCGGAGGCCTGGCGATGAGGGCGCCCACGCCGCTGGGCGGCGCCGCGCCCTCCCGGACGCCGCCGCGGGCCATCGCCTCCACCGGGGCGGGGGGAGGGGCTGATCGCTGAGGGCTTCACGACTGCTGCGGACCCTAGACCCGCAAAAGCTCGACCTCCGCAGGTCTGTATCGGGGAAAGGTGGTCAAGCCCTTGGGGAGCGAAGGCGGGATCGGGCGGGGGCGGCAGGGCGGGCGGCAGGCGAAAGCGGCGAGAATGTGGCGATGGAGGGCGAGGACGGCGGGAGGGGAGGATGAGGAACTCGAGGGGGAGGAATGTCTGGCCGAAACATGGCCGCACTACCTGCCAAAGTCAGGACACCGTTAAGGCGACCCCCCCCCGAGTAGAACCCCCCAGCTGTTCCCCCAGACGAGGCTCCAGGTCGAGACTGCGGGGACTCGGAGGCTTCAGGATTCATCAGATAAGAGCGTGCTTGTTGCGTGCGCCAGCTGGGATCAAGGAGGGGCGGAGGAACAGAGACAAATACATAGCCAACTAATTGGACTGGCCATTGACATTGAACCCTGGTTTCGGTTCCTCTGGCCCTCCCCTGAATCCTGCCGTGAACCCCCCCATCGACGCTCTGCGTTCTCCTCGTCGTCTGCCTTCTCCTCAACCTCCTCCTCCTCCATTATTTCCGCCTCCTCCCCCGCCTCAACCTCCCTCCCCCCTCACCCTTCCCGTCTCCCGCGAGAATATCCTCCCCCTCGTCCTTCTCTGTCTCCTTCTGTCTCCTTCTCTTTCTCCTCCTCCTCCTCCTCCTCTACCTCCTCCTCCTCCTCCTCCTCCTCCTCCTCCTCCTCATCATCATCATCATCATCATCATCATCCTCTTCCTCCTCCTCATTTTCCTCCTCCTCCTCCTCCTCCTCTACCTCCTCATCCTCATCCTCGTCGTCATAATCGTCGTCGTTGCCACCGTCATCGTTATTATCACCACCATCCGATTGACCACCACCACCATCACCATCATTATCACCATCATAATCATCAGCATCAACATCATCATTATCACCATCACCATCATCATACTGACCATCATAGTCATCATCGTCAGTAGCATCATCATCATAATCAGCATCATCCCCATCACCATCATGCTGATAATCATGATGGTAACGATTACCAGCATAATCATCACCAACACCATCATCAACATCAGCATTCTGATCACAATCAACAACATCAGCACCAACACCTCCATCGCCATCATCATCACTATCGTCAGCATCACCAACATTACCAACACCACCATCATCATCATCAGCATCAACAGCATCATCAGTAGAATCATCATCATCATAGTTGTCATCTTCATCAACATCATCATCGTCAGCATCATCGTCATCATCATCATCGTCATCATCATCACCATCATCGTCGATCGTCATCTTCCCCAGGCCCCAATGCGGTCGTCCGAGCCGCTTCTGAGGCCCAGTCGGCAAACAGTTCAGCAGCAGCGAGCAGAAGGACGGCGGGGAGACGATGCGAGGAATCTGTTTGACATCCACAGCCAAAGACCCACACAGAATGGGCAAAGCATAGGAGGAGAGCTGCACGACCACAGGGCCACCACCCCCTACGAGGAGGCAGCTCTTGGGCCGAGCGGCACGCCCCTCAACATTAGTCCGACCCCGAGCTCTCGTCTTCGCGAGGGCTCGGGATGGAGCCCGCATCGTTCACACCCTCGATGAGGAGGAGGAGGAGTAGGAGGAGGAGGAGGAGGAGGAGGAGGAGGAAGAAGGGCAATGGTAGGAGGCAGAGGAGGACGCGGGGCCCGAGCGACTCGCTCGTGCAAAGTTGTGCTCGCGCTCCAGATCCTGAGCCCCCGGATCCCCCACTGTCGCTGATAACGCCGCCCAAAATCGGGCCAGAAAATTTTCGGCGAGCTCGTTCGAAGCATGAGGCGGCCGCCTGGGCCGAACGGGGCGGAAGGCGGCGGGAAGGAGGTTCGGCAGAGCGTCGGTGGAACATGGCAGACATTTGACGGGTCGCTCAGACCCGATGGTTTCAAACTGTTCGATGCTGCGGGGCGCTTGGAGCCGTCGGTTCGAAACTTTATCATCGATGGTTTGGACCGTTCGAGGCGGCGGGTCGCTTAGAACCATGTGTTCTGCAGTTTCCTGGGCAGCGAAACCTGTAGACAGGTCGATTCTATAGACTGGAACCTACGGTTCTGAACTAGTCGATGCTGTGGGCGCTCAGCACAGTCGGCTCTAAATTTTGGAACCGATGGTTCTAAGATGTTCTGGGCAGCGCAACGCATAGAAATGTCAGTCCTGCAATACTCGAGACAACGGGGGCCTTAGACCCGTCGGTTCAAAAAGTAAAGCCAGCGGGTCTGACATTATTCGATGATGCGGGGCGCTTGGGTCCGTCGGTTTTCTGGCATTCAAAAACCGATAATTCGAAACTATTCGGGGCTGCGGGTCACTTAGAACCGTCTTCTCTGCAAGATTCGAATCACTGGGGGCCTTGGACCCGTCGGTTCTCAAATTCGGAATCAGCGGTTCTACCATGTGAGATGCTGCGGGGCGCTTTGAGACATCGGTTCTAAAACTGAGACCGATGGCTTAAACTATTCGGGGCCGCGGGTCGCTTGAACCATCGGTTCTGCAAGATTCGAGGCAACGGGAGCCTTGGACCCGTCGGTTCTCAAATTTGGAACTGACGGTTCTAAATATTCGATGCTGCGGAGCGCTTAGAACCGTCTGTGCCAAAATTTCGAACCGACAGTTCGAACATATTCGGGTCCGCGGGTCGCTTAGAACCGTCGGTTCTGCAATAATTATTCGAGGCTGCGGGGGGCCTCAAACCCGTCGGTTCTGAAATTCAGAATCGACGCTTGTAAATGATCGGGACCCGTAGAAACGTAGCTTCGATACTTTAGAGCCGACTGTGCTAACATATTCGGGGCCGCGGGTCGCTTAGAACTGCCGGCGCTGCAATATTCGAGGCAGCTCCCGATGGGCTCTTTAGGCTCATGATGGCTCCAAGATGGCCCAAGACGGCCCCAAGAGGGGCCCAAATGAGGTCCCAATACGGCCCTGAGAGCGTCCAACAGCGCGCCAAGAGAGCTCCAAGAGGCGATGTTGGTGCATCCGAGGGTGGGGGAGGGGGGACACGCATTGCCTTCTTTGATCGATGGCTCCTCAGATGGCACCGAGAGGCTCCCCAAGGCCACCCAAGAAGGCTCCAAGATGTCCCCCGAGGCCCCCGGAGAGCGCGGTTATCGACCGCGCTGCGCAGCAGTGGAGCGGCGTGGCCGAATCAGCAACGCCCGCGACCGCGGCCACGGTAATGCCAGTGCTTGGCGGGGACTACCAGAGGCCTCGTCAGCATTGGGATCGTCGGCAATGTCGTCGGCCATAGATGTTTCACCGTCGTCGCCGTCCTGATAGAGATCAAGCGCCTGGGGTCGACATTTTGATTTAGTCGAGTTGCCGGGGCACCAAGCTGCGGCCGAGAGGGCGACCGCGACAGACAATCGGAACCCGAATATTTGAGAGAGCGTGATCCACCGCCGCTTTACTGTGGAAAATTGCCAACCTTTTCCTCCGGAACCCGGGGGTCTCCCCCCCCCCCCCCCCTCCGAAATCCCCCCCCCCTCCCCTGCTGGAACCCCTCCCCCCCCCCCCCCCCCTCTCCCCCCTCCCTCCAAAACCCCCCCTCCCCTAACCCCTCCCCCCACCCCCTCCCCCTTCGAAAACCGGGGGGGTCACTACCGGTTGAACCCCTCCCCCCCCCCCTCCGGATCTGGAAAACCGGGGGGGGTGACTACCGGTTCGAACCCCCCCCCCCCCCCCCCCCCTACTCACCGCCAGCAAACGACTCCCGGTCCCCACCACCGTCCGCATCACATCCCCCACTGGTGTTCCCAGCACCACTGTCCTCACCACCACTCTCCCCACTGGTTCCACCACCGTCCCTATTGTCCCCACCAGTGCCCCCACCACTGTCGCACTGTCCCCACTGTTCCCGCAACTGTTCCCACCACGGTTCCATTCTCCCCACTGTCTCCACGGACGCAACCACTGCCTATCCCCACTGTCCCCACTGTCCCACTGACTCCTCCGCTGTCCCACTGAGCTGTCCCACTGTTCCCACCACTGTCCCCACTGTCCCCACCACTGTCCCCACTGTACCTCTGTCCCATTGTCCCACCGCCGTCCTCGCCACCGCCTTTACCAGTGTCCCCACCACCATTGTACCCTCCACTGTCCCAGTGTTTCCACCTCATTCCCACTGTCCCCACACCACTGTCCCCACCACCACCGTTCCCACCACTGTCCACTGTCCCCCCCTGTTCCCACCATTGTCCCCACCACTGTCCCCACCACTACCGTCCCCACCACTGTCCCGCTGTCCCCCACCACTGTCCCCACCAACACCGTCCCCACCACTGTCCGCACCCCCACTCGGTTTTCGAGGGGGGGGGGGGGGGTTCGAACCGGTAGTGACCCCCCCCCCTTTTCATGATGAGCTGGGGGGGGGGGGAGGGGTTCGAACCGGTAGTGACCCCCCCCGGTTTTCCGGAGGGGGGGGGGGGGGGAGGGGTTCGAACCGGTAGTGACCCCCCCCGGTTTTCCGCCAGCAGCGGTAGAACACGCTCTTTCGAATATTTGCGAGCAAGCGCACTTCTAAGCGGCGTGCATTGATTGCCCCTGCCTCTGACCTCTGTCATCGCCCAATCTCCATCATCTCTCCTGCGCCCTCCTCCGCAATCCGCTCGATCTGCCATATCGCCCGATGTGTTCACCCCGCCCTCCTTGTCATTCTCGCACGTCTCCTCATCCTTCCTACCCGACCTGTCCCCTTTTCCTCGTCGGGGGGCCGCGTTGGGTCCTTCGTTGGGTCTCCCTGGGCCTCTCTTGCGGGCTTCGTGGGTCCCTCTTGAAGGATCCTTTGGCCCCCTCTTGGGGTCTCCAAAAGCTTGGCCACAGCACTCCTGGGGCACGGCCTCACGCGCGCCCGCGGCCCCACGGCATTAGATACTCTAGAGCCGTCCGCTCTAAAGCTTAGAACCGACGGCTCTAAGCGCCCCGCGGCCCCGCATGCTTTAGAATCGACGGCTCAGCTCTAGCCCCGTCGCGATCCTAACTGCAAGGAAATCCATTCGAGCTGGG